TGCGCTGGAAATGACACATCATTTTTGCCAAAGCACAGAAAAGACATTGCCTTGGTTACCCTCTTTGTTCTTGTGTTTAACGATGTGCCAGCCATTACAGTGTGAGTCTGACTCAGACACTGACTCTAGGTAAAGCCTAATTATTCACGTATAGTTAATACAGAAATGTTGTTTCTTCCTTATGAGACATTTCAGAATATGAGAAATGAACATAGGCTCATGAAACCAGAAGGCTGGTGCAGATTCTTCCACACTTTCTTTGTTCTTGGTGACATGCTTTAGAAAAGGACAAAAGAAAGAATCTCTTTTTAAAAAAACAATCGAAATAATTGTGTTGTGGCTCAAAAAGAACTTGAATCGCATCTTCCTCGAGATTCCCTGCTCGCGTAATGGAGAAAAGTGAATCGTTAACTCAGTGGGACACTAATAGCTCTGCTTCATACAGTCCCTACTCACATGTGAGATTGGCAACCATAAATGCCGGAAAGATGAAAAGGCATTGAAAAACTATGCATGATTTAATAATACACAGTAGCAGGTTGCAACCATAACATCTTTAGCTTCTGGGTCTTTTTTTCGGTCGGATTGGTAATCATGAATATATCACCATCAACAGTAAGATTCTATAACCGTACAAGAACAGTTGCAGACATTTTGTTTAGGGAATATATTACATGTATTTTTCTAAAAAGATGTTTGCTGAATTAATTGAATTTAGAGGTTTATGAATAAAGAAGAGCCATGTAAATTATAATCATCAATTCACTTCACAAGTCAGGCGTGAAATCCATTTCATATATTTAAAAAAGAAAAAATCATTTCTGAGTGCAATGCCTCGCCATCGTGTCTCTGAGGATTACTGCTACTGGATCTGATTGCAGATATTGGCCAAAAGACATAGGAGGACACTCGACATTCATTTATTACAGACTACTGCTATAATTCACTTGAAAGCAAACATACAAAATCTCCAACGATTTCCGAAAATATAACATAATATATGCAAACATAGATACTACAGTAAGATGCTAAGAATTACACTTTGATTTCCAATCATTCTTCTCATTATAACTCAGTATATTAAAGCACAACAGGTGTTGACTTTAACATGAGTCCCAATTGCCTGGATGTACTTTTCTGTCACTGGTCTTTATCTCTAATTATTATAACTTGAAACCCATGCTCCTATGGAAACTGAAATGTGATCTAAAAGAGGCATGACATAGGTCATGCAATTAAAAAGTCATGCATGCTTCATTTCATATATTATGCAGTGCAGAACATTAGAAAATGTGTTTTTGACACATTACTTAAACTTATTCCTGTAGAAGTTAACTTTTCACGGAGAAATGTCAGCGTTGAAAGTTAGAAACCTATGTTAGACCTTTTTCTTTTTTAACAAGCGCTCTCCTGCAGTCGTGAGATTAATTAGTTTCACTTCTATATATAGAAAAGGTGTGCTTTATCAGAAAATCTGCAAAACATAATTATAATAATGCAAAAACTGTTGGATGTTTATGGTGGAACTCTGGTTGAAAACAACGTGCAAATGTTAACAGTAAATAAATCATGAAATACATGAAGCTTGCTAAGTACACGTAACTCAAGCTTTAACTATAAAGCAGTGGTTCTCAAACTTTTTCGGTCAGGCCCCCCTTTTGGAGAAAAAAAAAAAGTTGGGTCCCCCCAACACAAATAGTCACGAAATGGGCCATGTTAACATTTATTAAAATACATCAATATGAACGTGAGCATTCCTTTAAAAACAATTAAAAAATAACTTTGCTAGAACAGTGATTATAAAACAATGCTCCATAAGTCTGTGTGCTCAAAAATGTAGGGTTTCCCATTAAGGTACCGGGCGCTACAGTGGAACCTTCGACAGCAACACTCTCCACACGCACATACACAGTGCACCCGCGACTGCTACAATGAAGGCTCGATAATCAGCTCACGGCATATAGGTGTAAGCAGGTAAGCAGGGGTAAAGTGCTATTGAGATGGTTAACAAACTCTGACATCAAATTATGGGAAACATAACATTAGGTTAAAACGTTTTTTCAAATTTAAATGTCGAAAATTAAATAGAGCAAAAAATATAAAATATTAATCATTAATCAATCAATATATTCATTTAAAGCAGATTAAAGTTAAAACTAAAACGGTAGAAGAAAAATATTTCTATCTAAAAACTGAAATTGATCAATTAAACCAGGAAACATTATATAATATTCATACAACATCTGAAATAGATCAAAGAGGCAACTTGGCTCAAGCCATTAAAACCAACCAAAAGCAAATTCAAAGTAAATTCATCAAATGTATAAAAAATCAAGAAGGTTGTATTGTGTATAATGAAAAACAGAAACGAGAAGTGATAAGAGATTTATGTTCTGAAGCATATAAAAAAATAGACATTGAAACGGACTGTGTTAAAACTCTGTTGGGAACAGTCCGTACAACATCCAAGAATTTGATTTCCTTCTCGGTGAGATTAGAAAAGATGAGGTGATCCAGGCGGTGAAAGAGCTGAATGTTGGTAAGAGCCCACGTTAGCTAAAGCTAGCGCTACTAGTTAGCTACGCA